TCCCCCCCATTTTCTCTCCAAAAAACTGACAGTATTGACTTGGCATGAGTTGACAGCTACGTCTGCCTGTAATCCAGCCATTAGCACATCAGCACTTTGTACTGGCTTGATTTTTGTTGTATCAGGGCCACTACTTTGTGCGTCAAGTCCTAGCAATATAAATATATTCGAGAACCCGCATTACCAAATATATAAATGTTCAGTCCATCAATAAAAAGCACAGAACAAAAAAGACCGTCCGGAAAAGCCACGAAGCAATTATGCGTGCATTTGGCGGAGTTGAAGACGAACTAGACGTAAGCAATGTAGGACAACGTCGTACTCGACTCAGCTGCTACAGAAAAGCCCAAAAAATTAAGGTAGGAAAATTTTCATGACAAGCTCTACCTGTTTCGGCATGAATCCTTCCACCGACTTTAGCATTTCCCTTCATCACCTTATACAATCAGATACTGCTGGCATGGCGAATGTGATGTAACTGCGGACACTGTTATCTGTTAGATAACGAAGTGTCAAAAAAAAAAAAAAACGCAGACATATTATCAACTTAGTTGAAATGATTAATTGGGAAGTAGCCAGCGGAATGGAACAAGCAGCAACTCGTGAGCTGCAGTGTGGCGTATAATGCCAGCTGCATTATTTGCGGGGTTTGCGCCTTCTCAGAAAGCAGCTCTGTTGAAGCTTTTGCTAATCTGTTCAACTTCTGCCTTGTACACACAACAACATTGGTTGTTAATTTGATTCGCGAAAGTTTTAGCCAATAAAAACCATAAAAAAAAAATTTGTGAAACAAAGTAAAACACGTCAGAAAATTCAAATGCACTAAAAAAGTTACATGGTTCAAGCACAAGGCAATGAATTAAATTTTCCAATACAACGCATGAATAAACATATAAACACATACGAAATAAATAGCGACGCTCACTACGGTAGTGGTGCAATCATGTGTTCTGCGCAGCTCTGTCCAGTGGACGTTTGCCAATTGGGAATTTTCACTGTTTTACACTTTAGTGTGTACAAAAATAGTCGACAGATATTTTGCAGGTGGTTTCTAAGCTGCGAAATTACCCATTCAAAAACCCCACTCGTCGGTGTGTGGGAAGCAAGCATACGTGAAAGCTGAATTTGCAGCTTTGGTTCGCACATGAACAGCAAAACACCTTTTCAAAATTCAAGCTTCCGGATTTCTGACTTTCGCACCAAAAACTTTTCGGTAGCCGTACTTGAGACGGCCACAATTAGGCATTAAATTTGAGCTTGTGTAGTCCCTGCATCAGAATAAAACATCCTCCTAAAATCACAGCTTCCTAGCTCTTCTAGTTCCTGAGATAGGAATTTTTACCTTCGAAACTTTCACTGGGCTTTACCGGGCACCCATGCAAACATGAAGACCGAGTGTTAATTTGCGGAGCAGGAGAAACTCTTCCAAAATTTCAGCTTCATAGCTTTTGTGGTTCCTGAGTTGAATGTGAGGGACAGAAAGCACCTGGGACACAGACACACACATTACATACATACACGCACACAAAAAATACACAAACCGGGGAGTGACAATATGCGTTTTATGCTGCTGTTACATAGTGCAAAACGCATAACAAACCGGAATTCTGCAGATAATAAAGACAAATATTACAATGGGAGTGGTACTGCTCAAAGTCCTGACTTTGAAAACAGTCGCAATTTTCTCTTTTTTTTTTTTTTTTTTCAACCTCACTATGTTATTCCAATAAATAGAGCACCACACTTTTTGAGAAAAAATTAGCCGTAATTCAACGCAGTACGCGTCAGCAAGTTTCACCACAGAATAAAGTGGCCATGGCGCAGTAGGAAGCAGTACAGTTGTTGCGCAGATCACTTCCAAGGGATCGATTTTGGCTTGACGTGGTGGACGGTTTTATCTAGGCAACACAAGCCAGAAAAGAAGCTGAACTCATAGTATGGCGGGAGTGACAGGTAATAATTTACAAGACGAATAACTGAATGGCAGTCATGAAAATGTTAGATGAATCAATGTTTGGAAGGACTGTTAATGGAGCGAAAGGAATGCACTTGAACTGTTATAAGGGGTTACGCAGATGCAAATTCTTAGA